CCTGCTTCTCCCTCTCCCATTCCCCCTGCTTGTGTTTCCTCTCTCGCTGCCTCTCTTCTCTGGCAAATAAATAAATAAAATCTTAAAAAAAAAAAAAAAAAAAGGAAGGAAGAAAGAAAAAAGAAAAGGAAAAAAAAATAGTTGGCTTCTTAACTGACTGAGCCACCCAGGAGCTCCGAAGCAAAATAGTTTTCTGATATGTATAATTTAAGAAAGTCTTCAGAGAAAATATTTAAAGCATTCTATCTCAGAGGAAAGTGATTTTGTAAAAGATCTATCACTAGAAGCAACTCCAAACCCACCCATCATTTAGTGATATATCATCCCTCATGTTGTTTCTTTATGCATTTTTCTGGGAGGAAGTTGGTAAGAGTTCATTAATTCTCAGAGATAAAGATCCCACTGATAACAGAAAAGAGCTTTGCTCTGGAATTAGATTAGTTTAGGTTTTCCTACTTACTAGAATTAGGTAACATTCTTAATCTTTCTGTTTCCTATCTGCAAACAGGGATAACACTACTACAAAAGAATGCGTTTAAACTAAATGATGCATATAACCTTCCCATGCCTAATAAGTTAAATGATGTGCAAATATCCTACTTTCTTGAAATGAATAAAACCTATTTTTATGCTCTTCACACTATTTCTTAGCTACTGGTCTAAATATCAAGGTAATGTTAGTTAAAAATAATTTTTGTTCTGCCACTGTCCGTTTCTATTTCCAACATATTCTCCTTGATGAATCAAGTCTCCATATCAGTAATACTTATCACATAAGCTATTATTCTTCATATGTTTAAGATATTTCAATGTAAGATAAGTTATTACTCAAAGGGATGCTTAAGCTGGCTTTGCCAGGATTTCAATGAGATATAAATACATCTTACTCAGAACTAACTTTCAAAGAAGAGGAGAGCAATGACTCAAGATGAGAGGAAAACCATTTCTTTTTTTTTCTTTTTTTTACAAAATGTTATTTTCGGGGCGCCTGGGTGGCTCAGTGGGTTAAAGCCTCTGCCTTCGGCTCAGGTCATGATCCCAGGTCCTGGGATCGAGCCCCACATCAGGCTCTCTGCTCAGCAGAGAGTCTGTTTCCTTCTATCTCTCTCTGTCTGCTTCTCTGCCTACTTGTGATCTCTGTCTGTCAAATAAATAAATAAAATCTTTAAAAAAAAATGTTATTTTCTTTTGCTTTGATGGAGAAAAAAGTATAGTTAATTTATAATATAGCTGTACTTATAATATAGTTATAGATAATAAAATTAATAGCTTATAGTCTAACATTTTGTGGTTGGCTTAAAAGAAAGTGTCAAATTTACAATAAATCAGTTTTCTTTATTCAGTAATGGAGATTTACAAATATTCTTTTCTGAGAGTAACGAAAGGAAGCACTGTTTTTCCTTCAAGTCCAAAGACTCTGTTAGTTGTAAACACTAGTAACTCTCAAATGCAAACAGAATCAGTATTCCACATATGGCAATCAGGAAACGACCTGTACACCAGGTATTTTAACAAAAGGCTTGCAAACACATTAAATGAGTAGTGAAAGTAAAAATGATGCCAAATGTGTGTGAAAGCAGAGCATACAGAATTATAAATTATTTAGGGGGATTAATTATAATATTCTTAAAGAAAGATTTGTGTGAGTTATTATTTAAACACAGGGAACACTGGGGCACTTGGGTGCCTCAGTTAGTTAAGTATCTGGTTCTTGATTTCAGTTCAAGTCATGATCTCAGGATTTTGGGACCAAGCTCCACATCGGGCTCAGCACTGGACATGAAGCCTGCTTAAGATTCTCTCTCTTTCCCTCTGACTCTTCTCCCTCCCTCTCTAAGAAATAAACAAACAAACAAACAAACAAACACATAAATGGAGAACACATTCAGATGATCTAGGGTATCAAGCTGATACCATAATAATACCAAAAATCTTCATGTGACAATATATGCTGTAGGAATAAATAAAATTTTATAGGAAGAACTAATTAAATGAATTATAAATTTCATTTTATACTTTGGCATGAATTATAAACTTCATTTTAAACATTGGCATAAATATATCAAGCTGGGTTTTCTTGACTAGATGAATAATAACTATACATAAAAAGAAATTGTGTTTGTTGTTGCTGTTCTTTTTCCAGAGTGTAAAACACTTTCTTTCCTTCCTTTCCTTATTCCTTTCCTTTCCTCTCCTTTTCCTTTTTTTTTTTCCTTCTTTCCTTCAATTCAATTAATTAACATATAATGTATTATTAGTTTCAGAGTTCAGTGATTCATCAGTCTTATATAATATCCAGTACTCATTACATCATGTGCCCTCCTTTATGTCCCTCACCCAGTTACCCCATCTCCCTACACCCCTCCCCTCCAGGAACCCTCAGTTTGTTTCCTGTGATTAAGAGTCTCTTATTGTTTGTCTCCCTCTCTGATTTCGTCTTGTTTTATTTTTCCCTCTCTTCCCCTATAATCCTCTGTTTTGTTTCTTAAATTCCACAAATGAGTGAGATCATATAATTGTCTTTCTTTGATTGACTCATTTTGCTTAGCATATTACCCTCTAGTTCCATCCATGTTGTTGCAAATGGTAAGATTTTTTTGACGGCTGAGTAATATTCCATTGTGTATATATACCACATCTTTTTTCCTTTTTTAAGATTTTATTTATTTGACAGTGTAAGAGAGAGAGAGAGTGCATACAAGCAGGGGGAGTGAGGGAGGGAGAAACAGACTCCCTGCTGAGCAGAAAACCCAATGCAGTGCTAGATCTCAGAACCCTAGGATCATGACCTGAGCCAAAGGCAGACATTTAACTAACTGAGCAACCCAGGCGCCCCTATAACACATCTTCTTTATCCATTCACATGTCAGTGGAAATCTGGGCTCTTTCCATAGTTTGGCTATTGTGAACCTTGCTGCTATAAACACTGGAGTGCAGGTGTTGCTTTAGGTCACTATATTTGTATCTTTGGGGTAAATCCCTAGTAGTACAATTGCTGGGTCATAGTGTAGTTCTATTTTCACAGAGTGTAAAACACTTCAAAAAGGAGGATAGGGAGATGGGGATGTATTTATGGACTTGGGAAGAGAGCTCCATGGACTCTACTTCTGTAATACAAACATTTATTATAGATCTGAAAGAGAATTTGGATCCATTATTTCAACACATCCATAAAAGTCATGTTCAAACATGAAGAGATCAAGAGATACCAGTTTATATTTTTTTCATACTGCAAGAAGAAACCACCTTTCAGTTTTCATTAGAACCCCAGTTTTCCCCTTATGAGGGTCCACAGTTCTTAAGCAAAGCAGTACAGCGCTTACATTAGTGCTTTCTCCTACTATGAATAGCTTTCTAGTCCTCTCACCAATGCTCATCCCTTCTCTTAATGTCTTGGTCAAAACTCGACCATCAGTCCAGGAAGTTTGTTCCCAGTTTCACTGCTGGCACCTGATCATGTTATTTCAATCACTTTAGCACATTTATACAACCTACTTTAGAGGGTAGGTAATATATATGTGAGATTAAATAAAAGAATGCCTATAGAGTACTTAATGCTCAGCTTCAAGCACAATATGAATATTCAGTAGCTGCTGGCTGGCATTTTTATTCTAGCATCTACATTAAAACCAATCTGTACTCATTGCTTTTTGATTTCCTAATGGGATAAAGGAAATAAACGGACATGTATTGATTATCTACAATGAGAGGCACTGCAGGGTATAGAATTAGTAGTTCTCAAGTTGAAATTGACCTGGATTTCAATTCCAACTCTGTCACTTATTTGGACTTCTCTATGCCTCATTTAAATCGAGATAATAGAGATTTGAGGGATATGGTATAGATTAAAAATAATTGTAGGGCTCAGTCGGTAGAGCATGTGACTCTTGATCTCAGGGTTCTGAATTCAAGCCCAATGTTGGGTATAGAGATTGCTTAAAAATAAAATCTTAATAATAATAATAATTATTATAGCATTTGGATCTAGAAGAAGTATTCATTACATCATTTAATATAAGCTATTAGATAATGTTTGATTGCATTTTGATAATCTGATAATGGCTCTGTATCCCTTCCCTAAAAATAAACAAACAAATAAATAACTCTTCACATCATTTTCCATGTAATTCCAGGGCTTTGTTAATATAAAAACCAATCAAAACCTTTTAGTTGGCACAAATAACTCAGAAAAATTGTTACAGGGTAAAGAATTATAGTTGCTCTTAAAACACAGACTATCATCCTCAAGAATGACAAACAATATCTTATGTCAAAATTTGGGTCAAAACTCTGAGCTTACAGAATGGTATCTCCACCAGGTTATGATATGACCAGGACTGAAATTCCTGCCCTGACTGTCCTCATCACAGGCTTGAAAACCTGGCAGATAATTAAGTGCAACCTGTAGCTGAACAGCCTCAGTCGTTTTTCTATAAAATGGGTACATTGATACTATTCTGACAATAGCATTATGAAGATTAAGTAAGCACAAGTAAACTCTCCTAACACCTGACAGCCAAGAAATAAATGTTTCAGCTCTTTTATTTCTCTTTTTCCTTCTTGCTTTACTCATTTCTTTCCTTGCCCTGAGTTATTTTGTTCGTGATCTACGATGGCGAAGTCACTGTAATGCTTTTACTCCAATACTGACAGATAATTTCTAGCATAATAAGCAAAGAAAGCCTAAGAAATGTTTGAGGTAAATAGTACCATTATTACTTCATTTTATTAACCTCATTTGTCTAGAAATGTATCTGGCCCTCCTTTACTACTAGTTGTTCATCCATAGGCACAAATTGAATGTGTATCAGATATATTAAATCTCTGGAAAATTATCTCTGGTGCCATTTGGGGTTCCATTTATACACTATATAGCTTTCCTAAAACTAAACTATCATTTCTAATCCTCTTCTGTTTTAATACCCTAAAACATGGCTTCTAATTAATGGTTATATTGGCATTATATTCATTCCTCTTTGCTTTTTCTCTGATTATAACAGGTATTACTGGACAAGTTAATGACACAGGGTTTCTGAATATGAGGAAGGTCAAAGAGGAAAACAGGATGAGTAAGGTAAGATAATCACATAGAGAACTAGTGGAGCTTTAGCAATAACAAAGCCAGTGAAATTGTAGTTAATTAATCAGGAGTCAGGAAAATTTTGTCATGTGTTGCCATTAATTGGCTAACTAGAGTAAACAGTCTCACAATAAAGAGCAAAGAGCAGAAAATCTATCTTTCCTGTCAGCTTCTTTTGCTTGTTATCAGAGCAATTATCTCCTAGTTTGTGAAACAGTAACAATTTATTGTTTGATTTAAATGTTACCAGTGTAAGATATGGATATATATGAAACCTATAAAACTTTATTCATAAATTTAGTATTACAGCATCATGTATTCCATAGTAAAAATGGTTTAGGAGAAATGTAGAATTCATGCAAAGTATAATAATTTTTAAACTTAAGAAAAACTTTAAAAAGATTGCTGACTATGTCCTGGCATACTTTCCTTTGTAGAATATGTTAGAGCCAGTCTTTTTTTTAATTAAGACTTATTGTACTATAGAGAAAGCCTCTATTCATATTCATAATCATCAGGCAAATCAAGGAGCTGACTTGCTTAGAATTAGTAACTCCTTTTTTCTTCACTTCTTAACGAAGAAACATTTGACAAGAAAAAATAAAAGCCTACTTTTGTAAAAAAAATAATAAATGATGGAATGTTAGAAAATTAATTTATTTTTCACGAATAATGATCAGTAACTACTAAATACTGATCCGTGTAAATGAAACAGTCTTCTTTTGCTATCTGATTCTAAATATGAAATGCATTCATGTTCAGGAATCATTTCAAAGCAAATGTGTTTGTTTTGGCTTTTTTTTTTTTTGGTGACTGAATGAATAACCATATGTGTTGTAAAATCAATCTGTTTTAATTTACATAATTGCTAAATATAAAATAAAATTTAGAGGTCTTTTCACTTTTCACTTTAACTTTGTAAGGAGACAAAGAAAACTGTGCTTTGTATCATATTATAGTTCTTGCTCAACTACTGCTGCCAAAATCCTTAACAAGTAGTATTATCTATCTGTGTCCTTTCAGAACAACCTCCTTGCACTAGTCTCATTTAAAAAAAAAAAAAATCAATAGCCTTAGGAGACCTTTCAAAGAAGTCATTGCCAATGATTCATTTCTCAAATATGACCCAATTTAGCAATAAAATGATGTCAAACTTTATAGTTTTTTCTCAGTACATTAACTTTGGATGCCTTTTCCTAGATGACAGAGATGGCTTCTATACAACACACATGGATACACATACACATATCATTTGACCTACTTTCCCTCTGTAATTCCACACTGAATTCTTCTTGTCATTCACCAACACCAAGGCCAGTTTATCAAACTCCTTTTCTCTGCTAGCTAGTTTGTTTTCAGGAAACGGAGCAATTTTTGTGTACTCTTTAAGTTAATCTACATCTTATTTATGAGCCAAGAAGACATTATTTTTATTTACTGGTATCTTGATCATTTCATACAATCACTTCTAACTATATATGGCTTGCAGGACTAGTCTTATGATTGGAAATACAAGAAAGATCCAATGCCTAAAAATGTCTTCCCATCTACTAACAGATGCTTGCCAGTCAATTCTCACCCCTTTATCTCCAAACCTCATCCCTTTAACCTAAATCTTTCTTTCCCATTGAAATTCAAATATCCATTGTACCTTAAGATCTTAGTCACTTTTTTCCTTAGCCTGAATGATCCAAAAGCAAATTTTGATGATGTGTAGGAGGGAAGAGAACTTGAGGGCATTAGCTTTCTGCAGAGGGTATTAGGTAACAGAGGGAATAGAATGATAGACTCACAGGGGAAAGACTCAGAAAGGGGAGTTTGATGAAACTTAAGCAAACATTGTAGTTTTGCCTCAGGTCTATTCTAGTCAGTTAGACAAGAAGTTTTGAAGGTCACACGTAACTTATAAAATACTGTATGCCCCTGTATCTTACAGAATGTATAATATAATTCAAACTGCAAGAAACAGGCACATTTCTACATGGTCTCGGCCATGCACCATTTTGTAGCCTGCCCACTTTCAGCATCAGAAAGTACCTTGAAGAAATCTGGCTGATCTTATTTTAAACTTCTCACTTCCCAAACTGAAACAATTTTTATTTAAAAATTAGGCTCTTTAAAACCACAAAAAGACCACAAAATTATTGATTGACAAGAATCAAATGTTTACTACTGTAATATATTGTGTATAATTGATTGGCTGTTTCTCCTAAGTATATATTGAGGCGCCCCATATATTTAGGTATTCCACATAATTTAAAAATTTTAATGGGTATAACTACAAGATGATCCAGGTGTCAAACATAAAATCCTCTCTTGAAAAGCTGGTGAGGGGTGCCTGGGTGGCTCAGTGGGTTAAAGCCTCTGCCTTCGGCTCAGGTCATGATGATCCCAGGGTCCTGGGATAGAGCCCCACATCAGACTCTCTGCTCAGCAGGGAGCCTACTTCCTCCTGCCTGCTTCTCTGCCTGTCTCTCTGCCTACCCACTTGTGATCTCTATCTGTCAAATAAATAAATAAAATCTTAAAAAAATTTTTTTTTTAAAAGCTGGTGAAATCCTCTGCTACAAAAAATTATGTCTCTATCTTATATCATTGTTTCTGTATTAGTGGTATCTATATTCCCCAGCAGGTTACTTTTCATGCTAGTAAACTCCTAAGTCATTTCCCTGAATCATAAATGGAATACAAATTGCAGAGATTTCTCCATTTCTGTTTATAATTTAACAAATTTCAGCTGAAGGTGCAAAGTCTTCATTGATGATTTCTGTGACTTTCTCTCCTCCTAAACTTACTTGTTTCTTATGTCAATATTAAGTTTCTGGATTTAAATGTGATACTTTTCTAATGTATACTCTGATAAAAACTTTCTTTTCCTTTAGAATTATTAATAAAAGTGGTATTTTCATGGGAAGAAAAGTGGATCATCTCTACTACTTTGCTTTCAGTATTTTGGGACTGCATCCTCAGTTGCATAATGGAAAACCTGGCCTGGCATCAACTGGTGGGATTAAAAACCACTGTTTCACTTACTTGTAATTAAAATATTTACATCAATTTCTCGTTGTTTTACAAATAGAAGAGAGCACCCAGTGTGGGTGTGGCCCATGAATCCACTTCTGTGACTCATACCTTAGACTTATTGCTTCCTACTTCTTTATAAATAACACCTTTACCAAGTACTGGGGCCAGGTTTGGTTACTGTTGCTGGTTCTTAACAGTTTAATATGAGGCATCTCTTGAAACTATTTCTTTGCTAGGTCTGTAAAGTAGCTCTCCCATATCTTCCCCCCAACTCTTGTATTCTGCTGCCTATTTGAACTTAATATCTGTAAATAGTCCATTGTGTTTGTTTTGTTGATGTACTGGCTATTTTCCAAGATTCTGTTGTTGACCTTGTCTGACTGTTTAAGGATGACCTTTTGGTGATGTTGTTATAAAACTTCTTAAGAAAAGTGAACAGATGTGCTCATCTAGTCCTCTTCTAAAGACTGCAAAAAGCCAGTTGTTTTAAAACAGAATGGCTTGGTACAGAGCTGTGGCTATTTCATCTGCCCCTGCATGCTTTAAGCTTCCACAACTAAAAATCAGCTCTGCAACATATAATCACACACAAAGAAAAAGCAGAAAGGAAACCAGTAAGGAAATTTTTCTGCTAGACACATGAATAGTATTGATGGATAGGCCTGCTACTTTTAACACTCTTCATAAAGACGGTAAACAAATAACCAATTCAATAAAACAACCACTTCTTCCATGAGAAGAATTAATGGACATGGATATTAGGAGTATTTGACCTGGCAAGAATTTTGGAGGTCTCCTTTTATAGAGGAGGAAGATGAGGGCTACAATGGTTAAATGACTTGAAAGCAGGGAGAGGACTAGGATCAGAGTTGGGATTTTCTGCCTCTCCATTCAGGAGTCCTGAGCTTATTCTGTGATTGAATTTGCTGAGTGTTTATGCACTGACATCAAGAGAACTCATTTGTACCATATTTATTTTTGTTGTTTCTAGCAGAAGCAAGTCAGTAATTTTACAGGTAGTATAGTATAAAATTAGCCCAGTCAGTCAAACCAGTCAAAAATTAGTCAATCTAATACTCCCAAAGAGACAATGCTTTGTGAGTTCTTTAAAAAAAAAAAAAAAAAAACAACCTGGAAATGAGAATTAGACAATGTATGTTTGCATGTGTGTGGTATGTTCAAATTTCAAAGATAAGAATTTAATTTTTGAGTTTTTATTGTCTGGTTATATATGATGATATAAAAATAGGACACTTGTAGTTTAAACGAATATATTTGCAGTGTTTACTTATTTTTGTAAGCACCTTTATATATCTCTACAGATTTGATAATTAATGGATGTGGTCCATTAATTATGTATTTATGTATTTTCAAGCTAACCCTGATAAAAAAAATTTTTAAGTATCCTAAATTATGTGAAGACTAGAAGTACTATTGGTCTATCTACTTTACAGAAAGTAGTTGATGTTTAGCCTTGAAATAATGCTGCACCAATATCAGAAAATAATTCTTAGATTAAAAAACTCATTCTTGGAGCAGCTGGGTGGCTCAGTGGATTAGGCCTCTGCCTTCAGCTCATGTCATGATCTCAGGGGTCCTGGGATCGAGCCCCGCATCGGGCTCTCTGCTCAGTGGGAAGCCTGCTCTCTCTCTCTGCCTGCCTCTCTGCCTAATTGTGATTTCTCTCTCTCTGTCAAATAAATAAAAATAAAATCTTTAAAACAAAAATAAGGGGCACCTGGGTGGCTCAGTTGTTAAGCATCTGCCTTTGTCTCAGGTCATGATCCCAGGGTCCTGGCAGGCATTGGGGTTCTTGTTCCTCGGGAAGCCTGCTTCTCCTTCCCCCACTCCCCCAGCTTGTATTCCTTCTCTCTCTGTGTCTCTCTCTGTCAAATAAATAAATAAAATCTTTAAATAAATAAATAAATAACTCATTCTCCCCATGATGTGTTATCTTCTCACAAAAATTT